TCCACAACATTAATGGGACATCCTACCTGGATGGGCATTGAACGCAACAAGAGGATGAAGACATTGAGAAAAATATTTATTCTCCTCTCAGCCGACTAGAAGATGACCTGTGTGCAGAGGTGGATGTAAAGGGATTAGGGTCCCTGCGCTACAGACTGTTATTATTGTGCCTAAAATACGTAATTCAGCCTATAGTAGATGATAGTCAGCCGAAACATCAGTTGGTAGGAATATTTTTCAAGGTCAGTTGAGACGTTGAAATCCTCCACCTGTACGACCGCTGCATCCTAAAACTATCATCTCAGTGATCTCTCTCCACGCGTGTGTGAGAATATGGTTTATCGCCTCAGCCAATCCCAGCCATGATCCCTCCCACCCCCCTCAGTGGTTTTAGAATATGGAAGTAAAGCTTTGGAAAGGTGTTGAGTTCATGGTTCAGGGTTTTAATCCTGCACTGAAGCAGACAGACAGACACCAGGACAGAAAAGCATAACAGAGTATAAATCATTCAAAAGTTTCCAAAAGTCTGTTCCAGCAGCACAAGAAGCTGGTTCTGGTAAAGCACTTCTTCTTCTTCTTCTTTTTTTTCTTCTTTTTCTACTAAAATGATAAATTATGAGAAGAATGTCTTTGATTATAAAAATAAAAACAATCTGAGGACATTAACTTCACTTAAACCAGTGATGGACTCCAGCAGCTGCTCCAGATGTTACAGACTCAGTTCCAGAGTGTACCTGAAGAGGGCGTTGTTCCTCTGACTACAGCAGGTCATTGTTTTTTTTTATATAAAATGTTTTGTTTTGAGTCGTTTTGACTCAAACATTCAGAGATGCAACGTTCTATGGGAGCACGGGGTTGGATCTGCAGAGCCAGGATCTGAACCCGAGGCAGGACCAGCCTTTGCTCCCAGCGTCTGGATCCAGAGAACCTCAGCAGGTCTTCATCTGGTCTCTCAAGGACGGTCCACGTCCTGACGTCGTCCAGCCTACATCAGGCTGCTCAGGTGACCTGAATGTCCCACCGAGTTCATCATCAGGGCCCTCTGGTCCAGAACCTCCCTCTCCCGGCCCAGCGCCGCCCGCTCCTGCTCCAGCAGGGCCCGCTCCTGCTCCACAGCCGCCCGCTCCCGGTCCAACCACAGCCGATCTGCCTGCATCGCCGCCCGCTCCCTCTCCACCGCAGCCCGGTCCTGATCCACCAGCTCCCGCTCTCTCTCCAGCGCCCCCCGCTCCCGCTCTAACACCTCCCACTCCTGCTCCAGTCCTCCCAGCGTCCCGCATGGCTCCTGAAAATCTGTGGAGGAGGAGGGCTGCTGGGGAGGAGGGAGGCGGGGCCTGTGTCTGGGGGCGGGCTCAGGGTGAAGGTCGTCGTCCTCTGTAACGGGTTCGAGGAGGGGGGCGCTCCCCGCTAGCCGGCCCTCTATGGCGTCGTTCATCAGATGGAACCACGGCCAGGAGGAGGCGCCGTCTGCCAGGTTCTCCATCCCAGCAGGCGGGTACTTTAGGTCCTGAGGAGAAGGTGGGAATTCAGGGATTCGGCATTCCATCTGGAATCAGGAGTCATGGAAACACTGAAAGGAGGACAGAAACGGCTCACCTTATACTTCCGCTTCAGATTGTCCCACTTCTTGGCCATCTGGTAGGTGGAGACTTTTCCCTGCAGGCCGAGCTCCTTCAGGATGGCTCTGAGGAACCGGGACACAACATCATCATTAGGATCGTTATCATGAACAGAGAGCTCGTCCAGAAGTCCTCCTCCTCACCTCCATGCAGCCTTGGCAGCGTTCCTTCTCCCGGTGAAGAGCATCTCGTTTGAAGCCCGTAGTTTGATCATCCTCCTGGTGTCCTGGTCGCTCACTAGAAAACACAGCAGAAGCTCCTGCTTCTGTAACTGACACACTGCTGACCTTATCTGAGGTCCATCGGTTTTCCCTGTGAGTCATTGTGCTCCATTTATTTCCTCCTTCTTGAACATACAGGCGAGACGGATTCAGGACGGGATCAGATAAGATAAGCAGCTTATTTACATATTTTTTGTGGCAGAGCAAACCACCAGCTCATTTCAATTAGATCTGGCCTGACAAGAACTCCAGTTGGTGCAGAAAACTCTGATCGAAAACTCTAAAATCATCAATAAATTCTGGTTTTCTGCTCTCTAGATATGCAGCCAAAGTCATCTTTAGCATAAATATGAGTAAAAATATATTTATGTAGCAACTTTTTATCAATGTTTTTATAAAACAATAGTTCATACGTTTTGGTAAAGAAGGGCTTTTTGCTTCATATTCATTTTGGTAAACTAACCAACAGCGCCTCCTTCTGATGCAAAGTGGAGCTGTACAATATGAAGATGAAATTATTTATTTGATACAAACAAATATTTGATAATGAGCTGAAATTATTTTGTCCTTAAGATAAAAAAAGAAATTATATTAAGATGTGCTTTGTATTAAAATATATTTTACCTTAGTCACGTGAAACTTGATGAAAACAGTTGAATTGTGGGTAAAAAAATATTAGAAGAACTGAACAAGAAAAACTGCAGTTTTTCCCATAAATAAATTGATTTAGTAATGAAACCGCTTATTATTTTTTTCATGTCTTCATTTACTGAATAAAAATCATCTATGCTGTTTAATGGTTCATTTCAACACTTCTGGCAGCTCACACTAGGTAGAGATAGATATGGAAATACACATGGAATATCACTATTTAGATTAAGATTATTCAGATATTTATCCAGAGTTCTGTCTTACATTTATAGAGGTTAAAATGTCCTTTTGCTAATTTAAAAAAAATACAGAATTAAAAAGAAGGCCACAAATGATAGTTTTTTGACTTAGCTAGGCTTTAAAACCTGATTGAGGAAAAGCAAACAAGGCGGGATGGATGGATGAAAGGTAGGAAGAGAGAAACGTGGGAATAAAGGAAAGACGTGGAAGAAAAGGAACAAGGACATCAGAATAAAGAAAGACAGCAGGTAGGAAGAACAAGTAGGGACCTAAGGACACAAGGAGGGAAGGAATGAAGGACCAAAGGATAGATGAGGAGGAAGGAAGTGATGCGTAAAGAATCCAGGATTAAAGGTCCAGGAGGACGGATGTCTCTGCAGGGTCTTCAGGTCTTACTTTTATAGGAAAGCTCTGAGGGCGTGGTGCACTCCTCTCCGCTGGCGTCGATGTAGGTGATGGTGCCGTCAGCCTCGCCGCTGTCTCCGCCCACCATGTTCTCCAGCTCCGACACGCCGCTCCGCTCCCCCATCAGACAGTCTCTGTCGGGGGGTGGGGAAGACCCGAAGACGTTATCCTCCTCGCTGGACCAAACCGGCGTCACTTTGGGAGCTTTATCCGCCAGCCGTCCCTCCAGAGCGTCGCTCATCAGCTGGAACCAGGGCCAGGAGGCCGGGTTGGACAGAGCCTCCATCCCCCGAGGAGGAAACTTCAGGTCCTTCAGAGAGGAGACAGATTTTAACCCGGAGACAAACACTGAGTGGTTTAAAGAGGAGGACAGTCTGATTCACAAGATGATCTATGATCTACAGACCAACAGACCTTCAGACGGTCTGGGATTAATAAAAAACACAGGAAGTTCATATCTAAAATAAGATGCAGTCATGTTTTCTGAGGGATTTGAACAGCCAACCAATTGCTAGGTGTAACACAAGGCTGTAGCTTGGGCCAATTCTGTTTGTTGTTTGTTTTTCTGCAGTTGATATTCAGCTGTTCTTCTCCTTCAGGCATCTGAATTACTTCAGTGTTTAAACAGAAACAATTAAATGTTAAAAAAAGAAAAGTGTCTGATTCTGGTTTGGTCTCATCCAACCGCTGAGCCCAACCTGAGAAATTTAGCCGTTTTCTACTAAATGAAGGTCATTCAAAGCAACTTAACTGAAAACCGTTATAATAATTTGACAGAGATCTGAACTAAGGAGAATGGTTTTAAAACAGGAAGTGGAGATGGAAGTTCATGCCTCAATTTCCTTTAATGTTCTAGTGCAACACTTTTTCAATGAATTAACAAAAATGCTCTTTTTTGCTCTCAAGTTTCTCAAAATATATTTTTCATTAGAAAAAAAAACAGAGAAGCTCACCTGAATTAATTACAAAGTCTTTGCCTTTGTTGCCAAATCATTTAAGATTCCACAATAATATCCAGACTTTAAAACGACCAAAATATATTTGATCCTGATTAAATACGGCTACCCACAGCAAACCTTCATCCTAATAGAATTAGATCATCCTTTATGGGGCTAAATAGAAGCTAATACAATAAGCAGACATAACGGGTGTGGTGCCATCTGCTGGCAGTACCACAGAACTACCAGAGAGCTGCATGGCCACTACTTAGTGGAGCCCAGACACCCTGCAGTGCCTGTTGGTAAAGGGACAGTTTGGCCCATTGAGAACCAGCTGATATTAATGATATCTATTTTTTTTTTTTTTTACTATATATACCAATTTATTTACTAACAAACTGAGTAAAAACAAAGCCTTAAACACAAAAATAACAGATAATACAAGAGCAGGACGGTAATCTTTCAGAAAATATTAGTGTGAAACCAGATTGAGCTCCTGGTGTATAGATTTATAAAATTTCAGAAAAAGTGACACTTAACCTTCGGGTCTTTTATGATTCAGGCTCCTACCTATATTACCGAGTTGTTGGAGCTGCTATAGATTCAAATAAATAAGCTGGATGTAAATCCCTTTATTGTCCAAAAATGCCCACAATCTCTGCCTTTTAACCCATCCCATTGGGGAGCAGTGGGCTGCCATTGTGTGGCGCCCAGGGAGCAGTGTGGGGTTAAGGGTCTTGCTCAGGGACCCAGAGTGGAGGCTGTGGGGAAGGAACCGGGTACTTGCCACCTTCTCAGAGCAGAAGCTCACTGCTCTAAGCACTAGGCCAACACTCCTGTTTAAATTCATGTTAAAAGTTGCCTTTATTGAAGACATTTTAAAAATTTCCTTTCATTAGTTTTTAATGACCTTATTAAGGTTTTAATCATGTGAGCTCTTTTTGTTTGTATTTTATATTTGATCAATGATACAGTTTAATGAATATCAGTGTATGTGAAGATGCTTTATCAGAGCGGAGAACAAACCTTGAATTTGGTCTTCAGGTTGTCCCACTTCTTGGCCACCTGGTCTGGTGTTATCTTCCCAGTCAGACCCATCGCCCTCACAATTCCCCTGAAACAGAACCAGAACCGGAACCCAGACAGAAGACGTTAGACCGGAGGATCTGGGACTACCACTCTGTGATGTTCAACAGGAAGCCTGCTGACCTCCAGGCGGGTTTGGCCGTGTTCCTCTTGCCGGTGAACAGAGCCTCGTTAGCAGCTCGCAGCTCTATCAGCCGTCTGGTGTCTTCCTCCGTTACTGTGGACATTCCCGGTTTGGCCAGTACAGAAACAGTCATCTGAGTGAACCCATCCATAGAAACACAACCTGATAAAAGCCCCGCCTGGTTTCTGCTCTTCCTTACGTTTGTAGGTGAACTCGCCGCCCCGGTGCAGATCTCCCAGAGCCGACGTCCCGTTCTTCTCCTCGTTATCCACCAACAGATCCATCTCGGACTCCGTCAGGAACTCTGCCATCCCCCCGCGGCTCCGCCGGGCCCGTTTTCTGGGCGTCTGCAGCAGAGGCTCACACTCCTCGTCTCCGTCCTCCACAATGGGAGCGAGGACGGGCGCGGCGTTGGCCAGTCGGCCCTCTATGGCGTCGTTCATCCGGTAGAACCAGGGCCAGGAGCTCGGGTTAGTTTCCACACCGCGGGGCGGAAACTTCAGCTCCTAAAGAAGGCAGGTTATCATTTTCTGAGACTCTAATAAACCTCCTGTAGCCATAATCAGCCATAATTAGACATTTGGACGAATCAATCAGTATCTTAAAGCAAACCATCTTCATCCTGAAGAATCAGATGTTTCCCTCCATTTGGACCAGGATCCTAAATCGATGAGGAGGTTCTGTATACGGTTCTGTTCCACATGAAAAATTGACAGACTGAGGCTAATTTAATCACCTCTGGAAAAGGAAGTGATCTACCTGTTCTTAAACCAAAACAGGAAAACATTCATTGGGCTTTAGCTGCTGCTGTTTTTTTGGGTCAAAGGTCACTTAGACGGGAAAGCTGTTGGTTCTCGTTGTGGGTTTCCACTTTGGTTCTTGAAACAGGTGACATCAAGTTAAAATTAAATCAAAAATCTTCCAGGAAATTACAACCAAATTAGACAAACTCTGAAAAACATTAATTGTTCTTCAACACTAAAGCCCCGCCTACATGGAGGCGGGGCTTCAGTATGTAATCTTTTAGGTTATGTGTTGACACAGATCAATTCATTGATTGGTTTTATGGATTAATCAATTTTTCTGTTTATGAGGACACTGTTTTGAGAATTCAGGATTTCTTTCAAACAATGAGCCACTTGGGCTTCCATAGCTCAAATCAAGCCTTTTCCGAAACGATTCCTAAAGCTCATTCAATGAACCGGATCCATTTATGATTCATCGGGTGCAAATGAGCCGATGGTAGAGATCGAGTTCCAAGTATTGATCCTGTTTGAGGCTAATCCACCAAT